AGAAACACTGAGCTAAAGCAATCTTGCGTAAATCGTAGAGCAGTCTGTTTGCACACTTCATTCATTCATTCTCTCCACAATTATTCACAGAATATCTACAATGTGCCAGGCACTGTTATAGTCATCAAAGGATATAACAATAAATGAAAGAGACAAATTTTCTACTTTCATGGCACTTACATGATAGTAGGCAAAGACATTAAATAAATTAAATATACATATATGTTACATGTGATTTTAAAAATGAACATAAAAAAAGGAAATAGGATAAGAGACTAGTGAAAGGGTGTCTGTGAGTATGTATGTATATGTGTGTGCATGTACATGCTCTTTTACATGGTGGGTCAGGAAAGGTCTCCCATGTGAGAGCTCTACTGTTTCTTCCATCGAAATATTCCAATGGAAGAAACAGTAGATGCAAAATTGCTAAAACAAGAAAGTGCTTGGCTTGGCTGAGGAAGAGCAAAGACCAAGTGGCAGGAACAAAGTGAGCAAGGGTAAGAGCAGTAGGAGATGAATTTAGAAAGACATAAGTTCCTCTAAGGAAGAGGCCAGATCATCTTCAACACTGCTCTCCAGTAAGTCATGTAGCAGATGTTCAATAAATATGTATTGAAGAGAAGCAGAAAGTTCATTGGTTTAGCAAATAGAAGGTATCAGAGAACATATCTCATTCCTTAGTTGTTTCATCAAAAAGTCTGAGGTGGAAAATTTTGTAAGGTATTTGTCTGATTACAGCTCAGAATGTCCCCATCTCTTAAAGAGAGTGTTGTCTCACTGTCCAGTGTTCCCTGCCTTGGGGACAAAGAGTTTCTGGTGTTTTCAGGCCCACATCTCCCACCACATTCCCAGAGTTAGTTTCTGGTGTTCTTATTGCTCAGATTACATAGTATAGCATGTTCCAAGGAAAATGATGACTCGTAAAGGATGAATGTCATAATAGATTAGATACCCTGGTGCATAAAAATCACTTTTTGTTTTAAATCATAAAAGAAACAAATTGTTACAATATCAGTGGCCTTGTACTGTAGCCCTGAGCTTCATAGGACTTCTGTCCATGCTGCTTAGTCAATGTCACTCACTCTGCCACTTAGTGCTACATTAAGCACAATTTCAGAGCTAAACTGGTATTACAAGGTGAAAATTAGTTTGTTCTTATGTTTCTATTTCTGGAAGCAAGCCATTTTTAGCATCATTTTTTAGTTGGAGTAATTTTCAAATGAGATCATTTTTGTGGCAGGCTTTATAAAATCTTACCAACTAGACCTATGTCTTGTGTTGCTTTTTGTAAAGACAACCATTCCATCATTCTCTGTCTTGGCACCCACTATCTGCTAAGAAACATGACTGATTCCCGGTTTTCTGTTCCCTTTACCAATTTGTAACTGAATTAAAAAAAAAAAAAACAAGGTTGTTCTATTTGCAACTCTAAATACGTCAAGATTGATAAACTGTTCAAGAAAAAAATGCAATCTTTGTTTTTAAAAATTCTATCTTAAAGGGACATTTCATCTTTGGTGAAATGAGGTTGATTTCAGATATCCCACACATACAAACACACATAACCTTAAATCTGTGCAACACTGATAATGCCGTAGCTTAGACTACTATCTTGTAGTTGAAACAAGGAAATTCAGGATATTTTGTAGATCTGTCATAGATAGAGGCAGGACATTACATATAAATTGGCTGACATTGAAAACCAAAAAGGAAAGAAACTTTTGTCATCATAAAATTTGTGTAATTAGGTAACTCTTCAGCATCCTTAGTTCCCTGATATATTAGAATGCAACCTAAGTATAGGCCTCTTCTCCTTTTAATCTTTTCCTGTCCCATAGGGGGTACCCTAGTGACCCTTTGCAGAGAAGGCAGCAGCCTTGACCTTACATGGCTGGATTTACAAAGGTATTCACTTGCCTAGTTCAGAATGAAGGTCCTGTCAACATTCTTTGATGACCATGAGATAGGGGTATCAATTGCCTGCTTCAGATACACCCCCACCCTCAAACAAATACTCCTTGGACTAAGGTGACCACCATCTAGATTTGCCCAGGATTGAGGGGTGGAGTGGGACATAGGACTTCTGATGCTAAAACCAAGAAAGTCCCAGGCAAAGTAGAGGCATTATTCACCCTAACTTGGACCCCCATAAAGAATGGAGCAGTTCCTGCCTGGGAGCCGTGGGCACCTGCTCCCTTTTACCACACAAGGGGTAAGGCCTCAAAGTCCACGCCTTTGAGAACCACGTGGAGGTTCTCTTACTTTTTCACTATCAGGGTAATCTCTGAAATTATTGCTAATTTCTACATCAGCAATAGGGATAACAGCTGTGCCTACTTCCTAATTCTCCTATGAGAATTAAGTTAATATTTATGTGTATAAAATGCTGACTACAAAGCCTGGCACATAATCAGTGCTTAACAAATACATTACCTACTGTTACAATCATTAGCTTATGGATAAGGAAGAAATGATGCAGGACTTCTCTGTGATTGATTCTCTTTCAGTGAATCTTAAACATCCTATGTGTATTATTTGTTCAAATGTTAAAAAAAGAGAGAGAAGGAGGAAAAAGGTGGGGAGAGAAAGAAGAAGGAAAAGAAAAGAAAAGAAAAGAAAAGAAAAGAAAAGAAAAGAGAAAGAGAAAGAGAGGAAGAAAGGAAGGGAGGAAGAGAGGGAGAGAGAGAGAGAAAGAGAAGGAAGGAAGAAAGAAAAGAGAAGGAAGGAAGAAAGGCAGGAAGGAAGGAAGGGAGGAAGAAATAAAGAAAGTGAAAGAAAGAAATTAAAAGTTATGGTCAATTAAGTCAGTAAGATTTATTATCTTTCTTAAAAATTAATTGTACCCTCAAGGACCAACATTTGAATATGGGCAAAGCCCATGTGAAAAATGTGTTTGTTTATTTATAGACAGGGTCTTTGTCACTCAGGTTGGAGTGTGGTGACACCATCATAGTTCACTGTAATCTTGAAAGCCTAGGCTCAGGAGATCCTTCTACCTCAGCATCTCCAGTAGTTAGGACTACAGGCCCACACCACCATGCCCAGCTAGTTTTTCTTTTCTTTTTTTTTTTTTTTTTTTTTTTGTAGAGACAGAGGTCTCACAATGTTGTCCAGGCTGGTCTTGAACTCCTGGCCTCAAGCAGTCCTCCCAATCTTCCTGTGTTGACCTTCCTGAGGGCTAGGATTACAGGCATGAGCCACTGCCCTCAGACTTGAAAAATGTTTTTAGGCCGGGCGCGGTGGCTCACGCCTGTAATCCTAGCTCTCCGAGAGACTAGGCGGGCGGATTGCTCAAGGTCAGGAGTTTGAAACCAGCCTGAGCAAGAGTGAGACCCTGTCTCTACTATAAATAGAAAGAAATTAATTGGCCAACTAATATATATAGAAAAAACTAGCCGGGCATGGTGGCGCATGCCTGTAGTCCCAGCTTCTTGGGAGGCTGAGGCAGAAGGATTGCTTGAGCCCAGGAGTTTGAGGCTGCTGTGAGCTAGGCTAATGCCACGGCACTCACTCTAGCCTGGGCAACAAAGTGAGACTCTTTCTCAAAAAAAAAAAAAAAAAAAAAGTTTTTAAAATGCAAATAATTAATATTAATACACTCTGCATTTTCAGGATCACTAACTGCTCTTATCAACATTGTTCAGCATAGCTAAAAATGCAAGCAACCTAAATATCCATCAGTAAGGTAATGATTAAAATAATTATGTTACAGCTATACTCTGCAATTTGTTAAAATGAATAAAGCAGATTTATATGCTGCCATGGAAAGAGCCCCAAGGCATACTGTGGCAGACCGATACATAAAGCAAAATCCCATGTATGTAAACAAATCACAAAGCTGTCTCTGTATATGTATAAGCAGAGGAATGCATAGCAGAGGGTTGAAAGGATAGGGACTCAAATACCTAAGGATTACTTCTGAGGAGAGGAGAATGGATTAATTGTGCTTTAAAGAGGAGACTTACTTTGATGTCAAAATTATTTGTTACTTGAAATTTTTACAAAGAGTAATATTCATATACTATTAATACTTTGTCATTTGTAAAAAGTAAAAGTAAAACAACTAGAGGAAAGAATTCCACCTAAGAATTCTTCTGTTGTCGTTTTGTCCCTCCTCCTTCTCTCCTAACATCCTTCCAAAAAAGGAAAACAAATTTGCTGTAAGTGTCAAAGTACCCAGATTGCTGTAGTTGAGCTATACAGCATATAACTCACTAATTTATGATAATGACAGTTGACCATAGTAAAGTGTTCACAAAATTACACCCAAGTACAAATTGAAAGAAACAGCTGCACTACTGAGGATGACTAATCAGTAAGTTTTTAAAAAATAAAATTTGTTAGCTGTTCTGAATCAATGGTATATTAATAGTGATGGAATGTGTTTAAATGGAATATTAAAGTTCCATTTTTCTGAGGTCGTTGCAAACACGATAATGGTAATAATCTAGATTACTTCTTGTCTCAACATTATGGGGAGGTTGGAACGAATTTCCTCGTGAGCAAATCCTTTCACAGTATTAGTGCTATCTGCACAGAGCAACCTGTATGCTGGATATGCCATAAGTGGATATCTATGCTGGGTGGTGGGCTGGAGAAGACCCTTTAGAGGTTTCATTCCAAGTTCTAATTCTGCGGCTGGGAACAGTGGCTCATGCCTGTAATCCTAGCACTCTGAGAGGCCCAGGCAGGAGGATCACTTGAGGTCAGGAGTTCAAGACCAGCCTGAGCAAGAGTGAGACGTTGGCTCTACTAACAATAGAAAAATTAGCTGGTCACAGTGACATATGTCTGTAGTCCCAGCTACTCTGGAGCTATAAACATGTATCACAATGCCTGGCTAATCCTAGCTCACAGCAACCTCAAACTCCTGGGCTCAAGTGATCCTACTGCCTCAGCCACCTGAGTAGCTGGGACTACAGGCGTACACCACCATGTCCGCCTAAAGAGAAGTCTTTTTGAAAGGAAGGAACTGGCTAGAAAAGAAGCTACAAGTGTACCTGAGGTGTCAGCACCTCCTTTTGACAGATCCACTGCAGAGTGTGGTCTTCTAGTCTCTACAAGCAGCCACTAATGAAGCAATCTTCTCTTCTCTGATCTTCTTAGGAAAGCTGGGGAAGATTGATTTGGACCATCCTTCTGTATCTGATAAAAAGTACAAGAAAGCATTGAATTTCAGGGAAATTGTTTCCCCAAAAGATCAACCTCCTTCAAAGACAATGATAAGATGGATGCTGAAGTTATTCTGAGGTTCTTCTGTGCCATTGTTGAGTACTTTGTAGTCAACAGCTGCAGTCTAGCCCTTACCCTAAGACTATATTCTTCTCAAATCTCTGAAACCAGTAGTGATATCCTTTGAACTCTACTCCTATTTCATTGGCTGAGCTTCCTCTTCAATTGCCTTCTTGAGGTCTTCAAAGACATCACCTTCTGTTATATAATTAGGAGACTCAAGGCAGTATTCTCTCCAGCATCCAAAGCTTCAGGAAATCCTGATAATTTAGGCTTAACCTTATACACCTTTTAGAGATAGTACTATTAAGACCTAACAATCCTCAATTCTTTTTCAATTTTTTATTATCCAGTTAATAGACATGTATAATTTTTTTTAAAAAACCTGGTGAGATGACAATTAGAACTTACCTGAATCCAGGAGATCCAGATTTTTGTGTTTTTTTAAATAATAGATTTTGGTTTTTTAGAGCAATTTTAGGTTCACAGCAAAATCGAGAGAAAGATACATAGATTTGCCATATATGCTCTGCCTCCACACATGCGCAGCCCCCACTATCCAACATCCCCCACTAGAGTGGAACATTTGCTACAACTGATGAACCTACATTGACCCATTGTTAGCACCCAAAGTCTGTAGCTTACAATAGGTTTCACTCTTGCTGTTGTACACTCTATAGGTTTGGACAAATTGATAATGACATGCATTCACCATTATAGTATCATGCAAAGTAGTTTCTCTACCCTTGTGCTCCGCCTATTTGTCCTTCCTTCACTTCTAACTCCTGGCGATCACTTGATCTTTTTACTGTTTCTATAGTTTTGCCTTCTCAAGAATGTTATATAATTGAAATTAACAGCTATGCAGCCTTTTCAGCCTGGCTTTTAAAATTTAGTAATATGCATTTAAGTTTCTTGTATGTCTTTTCATGGCTTGATAGCTCATTCCTTTTTGGCACTCAATAATATTCCATTGTCTGGATGTACCACAGCTTATTTCTCCATTCACCTACTGAAGGATACCTTGGTTGCTTTCAAGTTTTGGCAATTATGGTTACCTCCCAAACAGAGAAGTTCATTCGTCCGGTGGGTAGCAAGTCAACAGACATGGCCAAGTTGGTTGTAGCAAGGGGTTTTTTATTATTTGGCACAAGTAAGTAGCACACACAATGGAGATAGTTGCCAAAGCAGTGTGCCTATAATTAGGGTGCTGGGCTGGTTTCATAGTGAGAGGGCATGATCTGATAGGATCTTGCAATGGGGTGATGCCAGACAACATACTCTGACTGAATCCTGCTATGGGGTGTTGTCAGGGCTCAATCCAACTGGATCCTGGATCCTGCCACATGGTGTCTGCTTCTTTATTCAGTCCCTATTCCCTGGTCCGGGCACTTCGGTTCCACCTACAGTTGCACACATACTCAGGTTACCTGACCCTCAACTTGTGAGTCCATAACAACTAAAAAACAATTAACAACTTTGTTACTTAAGGGTTAAGCTGAATTGGTCTGGTATGGTTCCATTAAGAATAAAACTGCTTAGGGAAAAGAATCCTTACTCAATAAATGGTTCTGGGAAAACCGGATAGCCACGTGTAGAAGACTGAAACAGGATCCACACCTTTCACCTCTCACAAAAAATCAACTCACGCTGGGTAACAGACTTACACCTAAGGTGTGAAACTATTAGAATTCTAGAGGAAAACGTTGGAAATACTCTTCTAGACATTGGCCTAGGCAAAGAATTTATGAAGAAGACCCCAAAAGCAATCACGGCAACAACAAAAATAAATAAATGTGACCTGATCAAATTAAAAAGCTTCTGCACAGCCAAAGAAACTGTCAAGAGAGCAAAGAGACAACCTACAGAATGGGAGAAAATTTTCACAAGCTACACATCTGATAAAGGGCTGATAACTAGAATCCATTTAGAACTCAGGAAAATCAGCAAGAAAAAATCAAACAACCCTATCAAAAAGTGGGCAAAGGACATGAACGGAAACTTTTCAAAAGAAGACAGAATAATGGCCAACAAACATAGGAAAAAATGTTCAACATCTCTAATTAGCAGGGAAATGCAAATCAAAACCACAACGAGATATCACTTATCTCCAGTGAAAATGGCCTTTATCAAAAAGTCCCAAAACAATAAATGTTGGTGTGGATGCAGAGAGACAGGAACACTCCTACACTGCTGGTGGGACTGCAAACTAGTGCAACCTCTGTGGAAAGCAATATAGAGATACTTTAAAGCGATACAAGTAGATCCACTATTTGATCCACCAATCCCATTACTGGGCATCTACCCAAAAGAACAAAAGACACTCTATAAAAAAGACATCTGCACTCTAATGCTTATAGCAGCACAATTCACAATTGCAAAGCTGTGGAAACAACCCAACTGCCCATCAATACATGAGTGGATTAATAAAATGTGGTATATGTACACCATGGAGTACTATTCAGCTATAAAAAACAATGGTGATATAGCACCTCTGGTATTTTCCTGGATAGAGCTGGAACCCATTTTACTAAGCGAAGTATCCCAAGAATGGAAAATAAGCACCACATGTACTCACCAGAAAATTGGTATTAACTGATCAACACCTAAGTGAACATATAGGAATAACATTTATCGGGCATCAGGCAGATGGGAGAGAGGAGGAGGGGATGGGTATATATATACTATATAGTATATATATATATATATATATATATATACACACATAATGAGTGCAATGCACACCACCTGGGGGATGGACAGGCTTGAAGCTCTGACTCCAGGGGTCAAGGGGGGCAGAAAGGCGACACACGTAACCTAAACATTTGTACCCCTATAATATGCTGAAATAATAAAGAAAAAGAATAAAGTTGCTATAAACGTGTGTGTGCAGGTTTTCATGTGGACATGTCTTCAACATCTCTGGGTAAATACCAAGAAGTGTGATTGCTGGATTGTATAATAAGCATATGTTTAATTTCATAAAGAATCATCAAACTGTCCTCCAAAGTGGCTGTATCATTTTGCATGCCCATTCTCAATAAATGAGAGTTCCTGTTGCTCCATATTCTCACCGGCATTTGATGTTGTCAGTTGTTTTGAAAAAAACCTCTCAAGTACCTTTGTCTCAGAGATTAGAAAAGAAGAAAAAATACAAAATAAATAAAGAATTATAAGAATAAAAATAATTTTTTTTTTTAAAAAAAAAACCTCTCAAGGTTTTTCCTCTGCTCTCACACCACAATACACAGAAGACTTCTATGATCAAATGTGTGGATTTTTCCCCACACATCAAACAGGAATGCCAGTTGGGGTTCTCTAATTCAATTCTGACACTGTCTACATGACAATAGCATCAGAGCCCACAGGGTGAGGGCTCAGTTCCCAAAACTGTCCCCAGTCCCCTGTTTCAGATACCAGTCACCAGTCTAGGCCTCTGAAACTTCTGACTAATCAACTTCAAGTTGGGATTCCTACAACCCCCTCTTTGGGCTCAATTAATTTGATAGAGCAGCTCACAGAACTCAGGGAGACACTTACATTTACTGGTTTATTATAAAGGATATTACAGGCCAGGCGCAGTGGCTCACGCCTATAATCCTAGCACTCTGGGAGGCTGAGGAGGGTGGATTGTTTGAGCTCAGGAGTTCAAAACCAGCCAGAGCAAGAGTGAGACACTGTCTCTACCAAAAATAGAAAGAAATTAGCTGGACAACTAAAATTATATAGAGAAAAAATTAGCCGGGCATGGTGGCACATACCTGCAGTCCCAGCTACTCAGGAGGCTGAGGCAGAAGGATTGCTAGAGCCCAGAAGTGTGAGGTTGCTGTGAGCTAGGCTGATGCCATGGCACTCTAGCCCAGGCAACAGAGTGAGACTGTATCTCAAAAAATATATGTATATTTTTAAAGGATATTACAAAGGCTACAGATGAAGACATGACGAAAGTGTGCGGTAAGGGGTGTGGAGTTTCCATGCCCTGCCTGGGCCCATCACACCCCCGGAATGTCCATGTGTTCACCTATCTGGAAGCTCTCAGAACCCAGTCCTCTTGGAGTCTTTCTTATTTTTTTTTTTATTATTTTTTTATTTATATATTTTTTAGAGTCTTGCTCTGTTGGCCCAGCTAGAGTGCTAGGGAACAGTGGCATCATCGTAGTTCACTGCAACCTCAAACTCCTGGGCTCAAGCTATCCTCTTGCCTCAGCCCCCTGAGTAGCTAGGAGTATAGGCACAAGCCACCATAACCACCTAATTTTTCTGGTTTTTTTTTTTTTTTTTTTTTGTAGAGAGAGGGTCTCTCTCCTCCTCAGCCTAGTCTCAAACTCCTGTGGCCTCAAGCAATCCTTCCAGCCTCCCAGAGTGCTAGGATTACAGGCGTGAGCCACCACTCACCCACTTTGAATCACAAGTCAAACTGTGGTTAGCCTTCTGGGTATGGGGTGGGGTCCTCTCTGGTTTTGAACTCCTGACCTTGAGTGATCCTCCCGCCTCGACCTCCCAGAGTAGTAGGATTACAGCCATGAGCCACCTCGCCCGGCCTATGGGGTCCTCTCTGGAATGAGGGTCTAGTGACCTACAGTCAGAAAGGCAGGGAAGATTAGAGTCCTGCCCTAGGGCAGGAGAAAGTCTGAGAGGGAAGATTAGAGTCCTACCTTAGGGCAGGAGAAAGTCAGATTCTGTTTGCTGAGTCATAACACACGCAACATTATAACAAAAGACTATAACAAGGCCTATGGGTGTTATGAACCAGGAACTATGGACCAGAAAAAAAAAAAAAAATATATATATATATATATATATATATATCTCATAACACCATGTCAGTGTTCTGGATTTTAGCCATTCTAATAGATATACAGTGTATCGCATTGTTGTTTTAATTTGCATTTCCCTGATGACATATGATGTGG